ACCTGACACCAAAATTGGCTCCCTTTCTGGCCGTCACAGCAGACAGGCAAAGGTCTGGGTGGACCATGGAGACTGATGAACGCTTCTCTCAAGTCTAGAATGAATCCTTCCAGGGCAGGGTTGAAGCACACTGGGGAGGCTCACACTGCTACTAACAAGCTTTACCTGTCCCATGGACATATAGAAGTCTTGAGGGCTGCTAGTTTGTCACTTTTCACCAGCAAGTTATTCATATCTGAATGAAAGAGCAGTTGCTTACAGATAAGCTATGGAGGGAAGGCCACCACCAAGTAAAGATTTCTTTGCAATATCTTGAAATGGGCTAAGTGTCGTTTTAATGAAAGGTGTGTGGTAGTTTTTGGAACATAGTCTAGACTGGAGGGTGCTGTTACAGGAGGGTACTCGGGGCTAAAGTGGCAAACAAGTGTGATAGTGACCCTGTGTCCTCCTGCTTACTCATCCTTAGCAGTGAGGGAATTTCTCAAAGGAAGAACCTCAATGGAAAAAACTACTTAGGAACCAGTAACCTAGAGCTTTACACTGCCATGTTGAAGAACTGGATTTGACAGTGGGACCCAGGTTCCTGTCCCAAGGAGAGGGTTTGCAAAACCATAGCAAAGGATATGGAGATTTTCTTTTCTTGGTCACCATTTTGAATTTGGCCCAGATCCATAATGACCAAAAGTTTCTGTTAGGTGGTCTTTGTGAAATAAGCTTGATCGTTTCCCTTCAGTTCTTAGGAGCCGATCCTGGGCCCATTGAATTAAATGTCCAAATTCCCATTGACTTGCATGGTACTTTTTCTTAGTGGAAAAGCGTCATAGACAGCATTCCCAGAACTAATACTAACTGGCAGTCACAAGAGACAGGCCAAAGACTGAATGCAAATGCAACTCTGAGTCAGAATGTGAGGGGCTATCTTGACTAAAAATTAGGGATAAAAATTAGGGATCCCCCCACAGGTCAGGGATGAGATCCATTGATGAGATGAGGGGAAGGGGGCAGTTTACACAGCTGCTACATGTACTGTACCTGTTCTGTGGATAAAAAGAGGTTGTCAGTTTTCAAAGATGTAGGCTCAGCACTTACCCTGAACATTACATTCTGTGGGTTTACTTGAAAAATGTGTAACACTCAGTTTGCTTTAAATTAAACAGAGAAGAATAAGAAAATATTAGAGATGGGGATCAAACCTGAAGCCCCAAACTGAGCACTTCTGAAATGTGGGGAAGTTTGTATATGGGCCTGAATATCACAGCTCGAGATCCATAGACCCAAACACCATATCCAGATATCATGCTGCACAACTGCAGCCTGGGCCCACCTCTGTACAACACACATGATGCACAAACCACACTTGGCATTTTTCCTAACATGCAGAAACTGTCATAGTAACATTTTCTCAAGCAGGAGCTGTTCAAACATGGGTCTGGTTATGACACAAAATAGTTGTGTACATGGAAATATAAATCTCAAAAAAATAAGGACACAAATCTTCACCCACACTCAGCAAATACACTTTCCTGCTGGGCACAACAAATCTGTTTGAAATGTCCATGTTGCTTAGGTTAAATCTGTACAATTAAGTCTAAGTCTTTCACACTTTCTCTTTTAGCCCATTAGATTTATTTACCAAAAGGCTTGTAAACATTGTGCAGATATGCCCAGCCAACAAAGCAGCCATGTCTGAGAGCTGCTTTGGAATGAAACTAAAATCTTGCATTTATTGACCTCCCTCCCACCAACTGTTGACTTGTATTGAAACTGTCAGTCCCTCATATTTCATTCCTTGCAGCCACCTTAAATCCCCTGTCTGACATTTTAACTGCACCATGTAGGTTCCAATACACATTGCACAGAAAGAGCTATTATAAAATTCCTGACTTTTCTTGTTTGCATGACAAAGAGAGAATGGCAAATCCTGCAATTGGAGCAGATAATCACTATCCCGTGAAAAGCCTGCAATCCACATCCTTTTTTTTAAAGCTGAGCTTCAACTGTGTTTGCTCAATAATTTTATTTTACATGTTGAGCCTATAAATCTGCTTCCAATACACATTTGACAATGAAGAGTCTTCAACCTAATAGGCTGGACATCAGCCATGAGAGAAATCACTTTCTGATGAGAAGATTTTTGCTGCTGAAGGATCTACCCAGTAGCTTTCACTTTCCATAATAGTACTTTTTTGAATAGCTCTTACTAGTGACTACTGACATGAATAAGGACTGTGTGGGTTGATAAGGTTCCAGGATCAGGCCCTCTGTCTGGTTCAAAGAAAAATCAGAATGCATGAACTATAACTATTTTACAACTGGTGACTCTTCTCACTCTCCAAACTTCTCCAAATTCAAGGTTATGAGTTCGTCACTGGAAACAATTTGTTGGGAAATCTGTGTCTTAGGGAAGATTTTGTCAGCTACAGTCTTGCCACTGTCTTTCATTCCAATGCAACTCATTGCCAATGCTATATCTGCCCATGCTACCATTATGTAACTCGGTGGCTCTCAGCTTTTCCAGACTACTGTACCCCTTTCAAGAGTCTGATTTGTCTTGCGTACCGCCAAGTTTCACCTCACTTAAAAACAACTTGCTTACAAAGTCAGACATAAAAATACAAAAGTGTCACAGCACACTATTACTGAAACATTGCTTCCTTTCTCATTTTGACCATATTATTATAAAATAAATCAATTGAAATATAAATATTTCCCTTACGTTTCAGTGTATAATATATACAGTAGTATAAACAAGTCATTGTCTGTATGAAATTGTAGTTTGTACTGACTTTGCTAGTGCTTTTTATGTAGCCTGTTAAACTAGACAAATAGCTAGATGAGTTGATGTACCCCCCTGGAAGACCTCTGCATACCCCCAAGGGTACACATACCCCTGCTTGAGAACCACTGATGTAATTCAAAAGGTTGCATCCCGATGTACCAGTGTACAAAACAGCATTGCATTTAAATTGTGATGTAGTGTGGAATGCCAGAAGGAATGCAGGAAGGAGCCCAATTCCTACAAACACACCTTACACTTACACTTGCAACATAATTCATGTAAGTAATCCCACTGAAGTCAGGAGGATCAGTATTGTCTTAATCTATATTTTGTAAACCACTGAGCACACTGATGGTGCTTAAATAAACTAATTAATTAGAGTATAATATCATACTTCATAAATAGAATCTAAACATCCCCAAATTTTGATTTGGGAATCTGGCCATAGATCTGAATGTTATGGGTTATCCTATCCATTACAAGATAATGGAGAATGTAAATCTATAAAGAGAGCTGCTTATGAAAAGCCTTTGGAGACAATTTGGACAGTTACTAAAGTAAAGTAACCTTACTAACCTTAACCTTTAGTTAGTAAAATAACTTTTTTCAAAAGATTCTATTCGCTTCCTTCACCCTCTTACAGCAGTAGACTGTATGATGCTCAGGTTTATGTAAACTATAGATGGGCCAAAAGAGAGTGGTTTTATTTTGGTTTGACAGAACCTCAGCAGTTGGGTCCTCAAACCAGGCCCTATTCAGAGAGCCTCCCCTCCCCCCCAATCAAGGGGTTGGGTTACATTTTTTCAAGTTGGCCTTATCGCTTTAGAAACAAGCAAAAACAGTGGAGGCTGGTGACATCTGAAGGTGGGTTCAACTTCAGACCCATCTACAATTAGAAGAAATGTCAATGTCATGTGACCTCCCTGTCTGGAAAGGATGAAACTTTAGAACTCACAAAAAATGTCAAGTTGCTCTAACATTTCATTGATCAAGATGCTATTTTTCAATTCCCTCCTCGTGGGGCTTGTTGTGAGGAATTAGACTTCCAGTTGTTTTGCGTGCAAACTCCAGGGAAGCAAATGATGTAGACGTTTCAAAGTTGAAAAGGTAACTTAAAAAACAACAACTTGGTTTACCAGGTTAGCTTTATTTCTCACTGACAGCCATCTGCTGTGAGAATTGATATTGCTGAAGCAATGCGATGGATGAGGGGGACTGTTGGGCAGACAGTATCCCCCAAAAGCAGAGTTTGGTTTCTGACAGTTGCCAAAAGATAACCTATGTTTGTATAATGCAGCCTTTTTTAAAACACAAGCTATGTTTAAATTGACAAGAGATAAAATTGAGGACACTTTTCTAAAATGTAGAAACAGTACATTTTCAGAGTTCTCTAATTCAGAAATATCTTGCTTGGTTTACAAGGCATGCAGAAACTGTCATATTAACATTTTCTCAAGCAGGAGCTGTTCAAACATGGATCTGGTTATGACACAAAATAGTTGTGTACATGGAAATATAAATCGCAAAAAGCCATCAAAATGGTAGGATTTGTGATTCTTTACCACCGAGAATGGGCTTAGGCACAGTTCACAAAGACAAAAGCAGTCCGTTCCCCAAAGACCTTATGATTTAGAATTAAATATTCTTAATATCTGTATAGTTTTGAGACTGAACTTTCACCTGTCTCACTGATGAATTATGCTTCTTAAAGATATTCTGGGCCCAATTGTAGTTGTGAGCTCCTTATGGTAGGAACTGTGTCTTCTGGGGAGTTGTACTGTGGTGGTGTACATAAATGATAATTTCATACTCTGCAGAAATGTTCCTTTTGACCCAGACTGAGCATGAGACATTTCAGGCCATTAAGAGCTTTGGAGGGCAAAAGTGAAAAGAGAGCTAAAAAGAATGGAAACCCTCTTCCAATCTAAAATAACTGGAGACTATCCTAAATATTTCTTATATTTACTTCACAGCACATGAAGGTGTTAATATGTCTTGTTACTTCCAATGTGAGAGTATCCCTTTCAAGTCCTCCGCTTCACCTCCACTTGTGGAATTTGTTGTTCCAGTGGGACCGGACTTGCTATAAAAATCCAGCACATTAGGTCTCTTTCCCATTCAGGCAGCTTGGGAGCTTGAAGAGGCATCTCTGCCAAGACCAGCCTCCAGGGAGAGTGATCAGTTCATCCATTCTGATAAGCTGTTTGGTGACTGACAGAGGATGAGTGTGAGGCTTGGCTGGATGGTCTGTGTAGTCTGCCTAGCCGCCACTGCCAGTGGATTAACCCAGAAAAAGCTCAAGGAGGCTTTGCTGGAGAAACTGGGGCTCTCTGAGGTTCCAAAACTTCAGAAGAGAGATCTAGTGAATCTAGTTATCCCAGATCACATAAGGAACAAATACATCTCTATGTTGAGGCGCCACAGAGTGAAGAGAAGAGCCTTGCCAAGTTTGGCTGGCATCCTGAGAGGAATCCCGGGCAATGCAGGTAACAATGCTAGTATTATTACAATTAGTTTAGCAAAACCCCAGATCCAAACACCCACTGAATTTGGGGGAAATTCAGATCCAGATATGCTTTCTGGATTCCTGACTTTCTGGATTCTAAATATATAATGGGCTGAACAAAAACCTTAGTGCCAACTTGCAAACTTGGGGGCATTTCAATTTGGATCTGTTTCTGGAGCTGAACGTTACTAGGACCCTTCTCTATTTATTATTATGTGGATAAAATAGATGTGCATAAAGTAATGGTGGTTTAAAGACTAAAGCATAACATGGAGGTTTGCATGGTCATTACAACTGATATTGGAGCTGGTTGAAAAGTGGGTTTACTGCTATAGAAAATTTTGACAAAAATTTAAAAAATCTTTTTAAATCAAACCTCCTCTCTCCCCCCCCCCCCCCGGTTTGTAGCTAAAAACTGCAAAAATGTCAGTTTTCAGTTTTTTGACAAAAAAATCAAAACGTTGTGAGGAAAGCAGGTACTTTCCATGCAAAATTTTGTTTTGCCAAAACTCAATTTTCAGTCAGAAAAAATTCCAATAGGAAAGTTCTGATTAGCCTTACATGAGATATTAGTGTTATTTGTACCCAAAATCTCAGCATGCTCAGCATTCCAAAGATTTACATTGTTTTCCAGGGCAGTTAGCAAAGGCCAGTTGTCTGTTTAAAACAGTCCAACAGCCTGTTTTCATACAGAGATCTGTAAAATAAATAAATGCCCAGCCATTGGTGGTTTTGGGTTCTGCGGGAAATAAAATACTTATTCCTTCCCATTATTCACCAGGTTACAGAGAGCCATGCAGAGGGAGATGATGAGGGCATTTACAAGGCATTGATTCAAATGTGCATTAGAAAAGATGTGTTTAGTACCTGTGTAGGGACTAAGTGGCCTGCTCTTTGGAGTATGAGATGAGTGTGTTGTGGTAATTAGGAATGAAAGGGAAGTGTTAGGGCTTTGCTTGTGTGGGATGGAAATGATGCTGAGCCAGGCTCTCCTTGTTGTTCCCAATGTACACAGATATTGCAGGAGAAGTTCTCTATTCTGATACCACACGCCAGAATCTGGTCTTCGACATGGAAGGGAGAATACCTGAAAACAGTGAAGTGACGATGGCTGAACTAAAACTTTTCAAAAAGCCCCTGAACAGAACGAACATGCCTACAACCAAGCAATCTCACCGGCCAATCACTAATGCCAGAGTCAGTGTGTACTGGGTGCAGATCCAAGCTGATGGCACCAACAGGACTTCCCTGATTGATTCCAGGTAAGAAATTATCCTTTAATGTGGTTATAGCTGCATTTTAGGGACTTCGTTTTACTGGGCCTGATTCTGATGTCAGCTACACTTGCCTAAATCAGGAGAAACTCCAATGAACCCAGTGGAGCTACACCTGTAAACAACTGATGTGAGATCAGAATCAGGCCCACAGCCCTTGCTCTGGTACAATTCCTACCTAAGTAAAACTGCAGGCTCTGGTTTTGTATCCTCTTTTATTTCCATAATGAGTTTGTAAGAGCAAGGGCATCTTTATTTCTTACAAAGATTGCAATATTCATCTTGAAGTGACTGTATTTCTGTACTTTGTCTGAAAGCCATACATTATAATACAGTTAAAAAATTGCAATCTTAATAATTAGTTCTAGTCTCTTGCTCTGGCATAGCCTTCTGTCTCATTCACATCTCTCTCTCTCTCTCTCTCTCTCTCTCTCTCTCTGTTTCCTATTTTGAAAACACTGATGGATTGCTGGCTTTTCTTCTTCTGAAGATTTCTTTCATTGGTCATTGACTATGCAAATTCCATACAGGGGCTGTGATTCTGCACCACTGAAGTCTATGAAAGCTTTGCTGTTGACTTCAGTGAGGGCAAGATCAGACACAAAAGCTATAAACCTCATTTCTGCATAGAACTTTATAGACCCAATTCATCTCTGGCAAAAACAGATGTAAATGACATTGTTTTTAAAGGGCTTTCACTTGTTTATGCCAAGGCTGAATACGGTCCTGTATTGTCAAAACTCTTGTCAAATCCTAAGAAATTCTTTGATGTGAATGGATATAGTAGTTCTTTAGTTAGTACCTCAACATTTGCTATGTGAGTATATCTGTATCTCTCTTAAAAATAAGTATTATTATTTTTTATTAAAGTTTAATAATAGCTATCCATTAAGAATTATTGTACAGTCAGGGCACATGGCAAACTAGAGGGACTAAATTAATCTCTGGTTTAATACTGTTGTTGTAAACAGAGTTTTACCAGGCATTATCTGGCTGAAGACAGCTATGAGTTGCCAGTCCTATGCCTTCAATTCCCTGAAATGGACTCTTTTTTTTGTCTCCACCTTGTCATACAGGTTGGTTCCAATAATGGAATCTGGTTGGAGGAATTTTGATGTGACCCAGGCTGTACATTACTGGCTAAAAGCCAAGAAGCAGGGACCAATGCTCCTGGAGATTTGGATTGAAGGAGAAAGGCTAGGTAGTTATGCCTCAGAAATGGCCAAAGTCGTGCGATTTACCTCTCAGGATCCTTTGGATAAAGCCCTGGGCAAACCCGAGTTGGTGCTTTATACCCTCAACCTAGAAGAATATGGGTATGTGTCAAATCCAAGGCTATGCTGTCTTTGGTATTTGGTTGCTAATTCATACTGAAGATAACATTTCAGGCCAGGCTTGGAAAGGCATGATTTAGTTGCAAAATTCCTAGAGTGGGTAGGTGAAAATGCAAGGAGGTCTTAAAGTTGCATACTGAGGTAAATAATGTGTCAAAATTAGAAATGAAATGAGCCGCAAAGTTTGGATAAAGATCTGGTTCCAAACTTCCCTAAAATTTGGACTGTTTGGACATGGGGTTTTAGTTAGGCCCATTCTAGAGCTAGGAACCAGCTGTGAAGTTCAGATCTAGATCCAAACTATCCCAAAGGGTTTTGATTAGGGTCTCTAGTTGTAATATATTTTACAAATAATCATTCAGATCATGGAAACATAGACATAGTAGAGAAGATAAACAAAGTAAGTTCAAGAGTTGGTAAAACTCTCCTGTTCTGATACGATAGCATTTTACACTTTGCACAGTGTAAAGGACTGCACAAGGTGCATAGCAATGGAGACTCAGGCCCAAAGGACGCAGCTTTCCCAGTTAGAAAGAAATAACTGCAAATGGAATAGCTAGGAAGTTTCTTTACTTTAAAGCCTCTCCTCTCCTCAGATTTACTGAGCTCATTTCCGTACTTAAATACTTGAACTAAGAATGGGCCTGAACCATCACCTTGGATCTAAACATCCCTGAATTCTGGGGGCAGGCAGGGTGCTAATCCAGAGCCAAGCTTTGCACCTCAGGCCCTTCTCTGATGTTAATGATAAGGACTGCCCCTCCCCCCCCCCCCCGAATCTTTCAACATGAGTCCTGATTTTCAGTCACAGAGACATTATTTCTTGGCTTTGCTTTTCGATAGGGGGCCTGGAGACTGCAAGGAGGAAAGTGTGACGAAGAAACCCATCTGCTGCCGGCAGGAACACTACATCAACTTCCGAGAGCTGACCTGGACTCAGTACTGGATTATTGAGCCTGCGGGGTACCAGGCCTACATCTGCATGGGGGGCTGTGTGCAGGCCAAGAGCCTCTTGCGCCACTTTGGCTATGGAGAAAGAACCTGTGCCGTGGTGGAGAGCTCCCCACTTCCCATGATGTACCTCGTCAAGAAGGGAAACTACACGGAAATTGAAGTGGCTGAATTTCCTAACATGATCGTAGAAAAATGTGGCTGCGTTATGGACAACATAGCAGTGGTGTAGAATAAAGGCATATGGCGCAGGGCTTGGCTGCTCTTCAGCCAGGGGAGGGGACCTTCAGGAGCCCATTCCTCCCTTTGCCATCAACCCTAGATGCTGCAAAAGGGGTCGTAGACATGGCTCAGCTCCCCTCCCCACCCCTTCATGCCAGCTGGTTGTGGGGGCTGGTGCAAAGGACTTTGCATATTGCACCCTGTAAAAAGGGTTTGACAGTCACTTGGAACTGCATTTGCCCCGCTGAGGAATTGTGCTGCCTGTGTCCTCTGCTAGCAGCGTGACTCTGGCCATTGCACCCAGTGTGATGCCCACCGCTCATGCAGAAATGGCCAATAAAGACAGTCCGTATATATACACACGTATTTTGCTGCCCTATGTACTTGATAAATATGAAGCCTGGCTCTCTCCTTACACTGGTGTAACACCATTGACTTCAGAACCAGACTCATAGCGAATGCCTGCAGGGGAAAGCAGAAATAGCAGTGATGATTTCCAGCTGAAGAACTGTTGAACCAATCATTCTTAACCATGTGTTGAAATCTCATGCCCGGTAATGTTGTCTGTGTGTCAGTCCTGACCATAAAAACATACTTACCATGAATCACAGACCAAAAGCACTTAAATGTAAATACTTTACAACTCAAAGCTGTCTATTTCTCATCTTTGTGCCATAACTTTAGGGTCTGATCCTTCAATCCTGAAGTCAATGGGAATGCTGGGGGGTAAAGACTGCTCACATGATGAGTAAGGGTTTGCAGGATCAGGCCCTTATTTTTTCAAGTTGTATGCCACAATCATTCCAGAGTAGATTTTTTTTCCCTTTGGTCTTGTATATTTTGAAACACTAGGAAAACAATAAAAGTATAAAATTAAAATGTTGATGTCTTTTGTTGGTAACTATTACTAGCTAGGAGGGTGCTTTATTGTGGGAAAGATTACTGACAAATCTGAACTGATAAATCCACATTCATGTAAGATATACCTGTAATGACCAGACAAAATGTACATCTGGTAAATGAATATTCATATATCCTATATATTTCTGTATGAGCCAGATTCTGCTTTCAGTTACAAATCTGGAGTAACTCCATTGAATTTAATGGAATTATTCCAGATTGACCTCAATCTGAATGAGATCAGAATCTGGACCTATGTTTATATATGATGACTTTTTATATGTCTATCTTTGATATGACTATCTTTCTGTGAAGACTGGTTGGGTTGAGCCATTAAGTGGCAACACACAGTACAAGTGCTTCTCTCCTGACTCCATCAGTTTCTGCAGAATTTAAGCTTTTTTTTTTCTTTTAAAAGAGCAGCTTTAAATCCTTGTGAAAGGCAAAATCTTCTGAACATGATCAGATGCATTGCTAACGCTGCCCCTGCAGCCAATAAGCCTGAAATAACAACTCTGAAAGGTGTGAACTGCCCCATTCATGGTTAAGGCTGTTGAATCTGAAGATTAATTGAGATACAGTTGTTTAACTAAAAAGAAAAGGAGGACTTGTGGCACCTTAGAGACTAACCAATTTATTTGAGCATGAGCTTTCGTGAGCTACAGCGAATTTTCTTTTTGCGAATACAGACTAACATGGCTGTTACTCTGAAACCAGTTGTTTAACTGTTTATCTTTACCAGTGAGTTTGTATGAAGTGTGTGGCAAAACTGCTCAGGTTTGCAAAGGCTGGTGTATATCCACTTTTCATTGCAAAGGCTGGTGTATATCCACCAATTAATAAATCTGCATTGCTTGTCTTGAGCAGTCCAAGATGGTATATTTCTGAGTACAGTGCTGGGATCTGGTGGGTTCTGGCTGGTGCCTTCCTGTGTGATTCATGCGTGGCTCTCGGAGCATTCATGCAATATAGCTGGGTGTGGGGCTCCACATGTGGTTGTGTTGAGTGATCACAGCACTTGGAGGGGTTTGCTGCTGGTCACTAGCAAGGCAATGTGAGAGACAGCCCAGGCTGGAGAGAGTTTAGGGGGCACAGTGGTCCCAAGGTCCCAGGCTGCACCCCAGGGATCCCATCATAGGGGCAGCAGAGGGCAAGGAGTGGGCAAGGACAGCTAAGCTGCCTAACGGCCACTAGGGGCAACAGAGGGCAGGGAGCAGGCAGGGGAAGCTATGTTGCCGAAAGGGCACCAGGGGCAGCAGAGAGAGGGGCGGCCATACTGCCTAACAGTCACTAGGGGCAACAAAGGGCTTGGAGGGGCGGCTATGCTGCCTAATGGCTACTAGGGGCAGCAGAGGGAAGGGAGTGGGCAGGGGCGGCCATGCGGCCCAACGGACACTAGGGGCAGTAGAGGGCACATGAGCCAGCCCTGACCCAGCCCCACCTGCGAGCCTGGCTGGCCCTGCAGCATGGCACTAACATTGGTTCCACCCCCGAGCCTGGCCAACCCCCGCACCATGGCGTCGGCCCTGCTTCCACTCCCGAGCCTTGCCAGCCCCCCAGCAAGACACCGGCCCTGGCCCCCAGTACGGCACTGGTACTGGTCCTGGACCCGCCCCTGAGCCTGGCTGGACCCATAGCAAGGTGCCAGCCCTGGCCCTGCCCCCTAGCCTGGCCACCCCCCCAACGTGGCGCTGGCCATGGTCCTGCCCTCGAGCCTGGCCAGCCCCCCAACAAGGCACTGGCCCTGGCCCTGCCTCCGAGCCTGGCCAGCCCCCCAGCAAGGCACCTGTCCCGATTCTGGCCGGCCCACAAGCAAGGTGCCTGTCGTGGAGCCGCCGCCGCCCCTGGCCACCCCCCGACCATAGTGCCAACCATAGCCCCACCCCCAAGCGTGGCCAGTCCCCCAACAAGGCACCAGCCCTGGCTCCACCTCTAAGCCAGGCCAATCCCCAACAAGGCGCCGGTGCTGGCCCTGCCTACGAGCTAGGCTGGCCCCCAAGCAAGATGCCAGCCCTTGACCCACCCCGAGCCTGGCCACTCCCCACTATGGCGCTGGCCCCATGCCCGAGACTGGCCAGCCCCCCAGCACGGTGCTAGCCCTGGTCCTGCCCCCAAGCCTGGCAGCCCTCCCAATTAGGTGCCCACCCTGGTCCCTCCTCCGAGACTACCCAGCCCCCCAGCCAGGTACCAGCTCTGGCCCTTCCCCCGAGCCTGGCCGGCCCCACAACAGGGCACTGGCCCTGGCCCTGGCCCCACCCCTGAGCCTTTGTCTTTGGTCTCTCTAACTCTGTGGTTCTCAAACTTTTGTGCTGGTGACCCCTTTCATATAGCAAGCCTCTGACTGCAACCCCACTTTATAAATTAAAAACATCTTTTTATATATTTAACACCATTATAAATGCTGGAGGCAAAGTGGGGTTTGGGGTGGAGGCTGACAACTCGCAATCCCCCATATAATAACCTTGCGACCCCCTGAGGGGTCCCGACCCCCAGTTTGAGAACCCCTGGTCTAACTCATTTAGTGAAGAGCCTAAGGCCTGAAACACTTCTCATACCTTTGAGCTGGTCAAGTCTGAGACACGGGAAAGCTTGCATTGGTACTGTCCATGCTCAATCTTTTCAATAGTTAAATGATGGCTCTCAGTTTGGTGTTCTGGCACCTTTCTCTGTCATAAATTCCCTTTATTAAAATAAAGGAACTTTAGGGAGAGAAAAAGAAAAGAAATAAACAGACTCATTAGACCTCAATGAGGGGAATCTGTGGCATTCAGTACCTTTCTGTGAGTTATATGAAGACAAATAGATAAGCCCCATTGTCTCTGGACACCTCCTTCCCATGATTATGTAGAAGTCTGCCTTTGTTGTCATTAAAATTCAGGCCCAGCTTCATATTCCATTTCAGGGAGTAGCCTGAAGGCAAGACAGCATAACAAAGTGTAAAGTAGCCAATTTCTCAACAAACTAGCCACATCCAGTATTATCTGAGGAAGGAAGGGATTGGTTCCTTGCATGAGAATGAAGACTGATTGCCCTAACTAAATCCTAGTGTGGGTATTTATATTCGCAAAAAGAAAAGGAGTACTTGTGGCACCTTAGAGACTAACCAATTTATTTGAGCATAAGCTTTCGTGAGCTACAGCTCACTTCATCGGATGCATACTGTGGAAAGTGTAGAAGATCTTTTTATACACACAAAGCATGAAAAAATACCTCCCCCCACCCCACAGTTGGCAACTGGCTTTGTTGCAAGGATAGGTTCCTGGGTTAGTGATTCTGTTGTGTGGTATGTGGTTGCTGGTGAGTATTTGCTTCAGGTTGGGGGGCTGTCTGTAGGCAAGGACTGGCCTGTCTCCCAAGATTTGTGAGAGTGTTGGGTCATCCTTCAGGATAGGTTGTAGATCCTTAATAATGCATTGGAGGGGTTTTAGTTGGGGGCTGAAGGTGATGGCTAGTGGCGTTCTGTTATTTTCTTTGTTAGGCCTGTCCTGTAGTAGGTGACTTCTGAGAACTCTTCTGGCTCTGTCAATCTGTTTCTTCACTTCCACAGGTGGGTAGTGTAGTTGTAAGAATGCTTGATAGAGATCTTGTAGGTGTTTGTCTCTGTCTGAGGGGTTGGAGCAAATGCGGTTGTATACCCTTGCAACAAAGCCCGTTGCCAACTGTGCCCACATATCTATTCAGGGGACACCATCACAGGGCCTAATAACATCAGCCACACTATCAGAGGCTCGTTCACCTGCACATCTACCAATGTGATATATGCCATCATGTGCCAGCAATGCCCCTCTGCCATGTACATTGGTCAAACTGGACAGTCTCTACGTAAAAGAATAAATGGACACAAATCAGATGTCAAGAATTATAACATTCATAAACCAGTCGGAGAACACTTCAATCTCTCTGGTCACGCGATTACAGGCATGAAAGTTGCGATATTACAACAAAAAAACTTCAAATCCAGACTCCAGCGAGAGACTGCTGAATTGGAATTCATTTGCAAATTGGATACAATTAACTTGGGCTTGAATAGAGACTGGGAGTGGCTAAGTCATTATGCAAGGTAACCTATTTCCCCTTGTTTTTTCCTACCCCCCCCCCCCTCAGACGTTCTTGTTAAACCCTGGATTTGTGCTGGAAATGGCCCACCTTGATTATCATACACATTGTAAGGAGAGTGGTCACT